TTTCTCTCCCCCAATTCTACATCTTTAACAAGTACCTGGTCTGTGTCAGAGGCTGCTGGGTGTAATCTCCAGAGCGGCCTCTGGCATGCCTGCCATTCAAAGACGCAAACAACAGTTAATGGGAACAGCTGGGCCTTTTTGGACTAGCCAAGGATGAGTCTGACTGGCCTGAGCATCCCGCGAGCCCAGCTGGAACCAGACAACAGCGGCGCGAGGGTTTGGCAAGAGTTTTATCACCTCGGCGCATCTCTGAGGCTAGCTTCCAGAGGGGTCAAGTATTTGGGGAATTAAAGAGAGAGGTGGATGCTGCATCTCTAAGAGTTTCCCATCGTATCATAGAGCCACAATTTCACTCGCCTGTTTCAATTTACACCTGGGTAGAGCATGACCGGCTTTCTGCTGGCAGGCAGGCTTCCCTTCAATTGCCAAGACCGTTATACATACAGAGAGCCGGCGCACAATAAATTGCTCCAGCCTACAGATTTGTGGAGTGTGCAGAGTCTCTCTCTCTCTCTCTCTCTCTCTCTCTCTCTCTCCCCCCCCAGCTTCCTTCCCTCCCACTCGCAAAGGCAGGAGCCGAAATTTATTCCAGCTGGGGGCAGAAACTCAGATCCAGAATTCGCCCTTATCTGTAAGCCAATGGAATGCCTCAGCTAATGAAGTCTGCCCAAGTGATGGTGACAACTCACAGAAGGGTCTCTCTCCATAACAAACATGGGCAAATGCTGGCTAAGAGAGAAACACACACTCGCCAAAAAACAAACACCCTTTTGTGTGTGCCTTACATATAATTTATTTTATTTTATTTATTAAATTTATATACCACCCTTCGTCCGCAGATCTCAGGGTGGTTCATAACATAAAATTACAATATAGAAAACACAAAATACATAATAAAAACAAGAGCAAAAACAAACCAATAATCTCCCCTCCCAGGATCTATGGGAATCCCCAAAGGAGCTGGCAAGGCAGACAGAGTCAAGTAACACCTTTCATTTTTCCTTCTAAAGACACACAAACAAGGCATGACTGAACTTCAGTCATACCTAACACTTCTGATCGCCATGTCTCCCTCCACTGAGAATGATTCTGCAGACTTCACCCCAAGCTGACATGCCTTTGTTTAAGGCCTAGGTGAAGGATGTTGGGACGAATGTTTCTGTTAGCCAGCAAAGGGGACACAGCTGGACAAGAGAAATGAACTGGGAGTGCCTGTGGATGTCGAGTTAGCCCCAGCCAGGCCTTCTCCCCCGCCCCCCACAATTTGGGGAGTTTGGAGAGGCGCTTTCTACCGCCAACCCCTCTCTGGCATCTTCTCACCGGCCCTGTCATTTCCCATGTGTTGTAGGGTAAAGTCCACAGCGGGAAGGGAGCCTGTGTTTGCAGAGACTTCCCCCATTCAATCTAGAACCCAGATGGTTCAAGGTTCTAATCTGTGTGAGAGTATAATCCAGGGGTGAAGAACCTCAGCCGCAGGGAACAACTGCGGCTCTGTCTGGCCATTGGGACTCTTCCTGCATTACACCGTTCTCCAGCCCTTCTTGGCATCCTCCGTGAGTGCTTTTGCCTTTGCCTGGCTGGGAATGGGTAAAAAAAAGGCAAATCTTCCCATTAATCCCATCTCCAGCATGAGAGAACTGTGACTCATCTGCTAGCCTGACTTGTAAATAATACTATTAAATAAACAAAATATTTTCTCTTGATTTTTTGTTGTTGTTTTTGTTTTGTTTTCTGCAAAGAGCAGCAAATATTCAAGTACAGCGTATTCCTGGGCTCCCGATCGTCTGTGAGTATTTAGCTGATGGAATGTTTCTCTAAATTACTCCTAAAAATATTCACGAGAGATTTTCCAGCCCCTGCAGCGAGAGATAACAATGGCATGTAAACAAAATAATGGGCAACTTCTGGCAATGGTGGGAGCGGCAGGGGAGACAACTTGTTTAATGTCACTTAGCCTGTATTCTGATACAGGCTAACTTGGAAGTACATCCCACTCAACTTCCAAGTCAGCACACATAGATTTGTGTTGTGCACAAAGGGAGTGTGAGCTCCCAACAGGACTTTGGATGGTAGACCCATGGCTGGATTTCCTCCTGCTTTGTACTTTGAGACAGCTGCAGTGAGCGCTGCATTTGATCTGAACAGGAACATGCAGAGGGGGTGACTTGATCCTTCTGTTTCATCCATCTAAAGTGCACCTGCCAAACTGTTATTGGCTTGGCTAGGGAGGGGTATAGGGTGCATGGGAGATATGGACTAATTGCCTTTTGAAAGCATTAGGAAATCCAACAGGCCTCCTGGGTAACATGTTCTTTGGCTGATGAAGCTTTCCTGAACTCATCAGCATTAAGGTTGCACCTAAATCGAAAATGGGCAAACTAGGAAGTTGCGATGAGTTCAGGGGTGCCAGACCCAGTGGTGTAGCGTGGGTTGCCAGCACCCAGGGCCAAGTAGAGGATGGGGGTGAGAGAGAGGGAAACATCTGAGTACATATGCGCATTCAGCTGCCTAATGGCATCCACGTCACCCAGGACATTACAGCCACAGAGATGAGAAAAGAAGAGGAGTTCCGTTGTCTGGTGAGGTCACTTCCTGGTTCTTGGAGAAGCCATTTTCAATCATGTCCAGCGATGGTAGTGTGTAGCCCTGTTCAGGGAAGTTTTTAATGTGTGACATTTTAATGTATTTTTAATCTTTGTTGGAAACCGCCCAGAGTGGCTGGGGAAACCCAGCCAGATGGGCGGGGTACAAATAATATTTATTTATTTATTTATTTATTTATTTATTAATTATCATCTTAATCATTATTGCTGTATTCAGGCACCACTGGGTGTTGAAATTTTGCTCTGCTAACAATTTTGTGCCGGGCGAAACTGCCCCTGTTATCCCCCTCATGTTACGCCACTGGCCGGACCCCTTCAAACTCCTGGATCCAGTAAGTGTCAAAATTTAATCAAGCCTTCTAAGTCCCTAGGTCCTGAAAGAGTTAAAATATAGACCAGGCTAGCTTCCTGATGAGATAATCCCTGGAGGTGATGGGCCATTAAGGGAACAAAGGAAAGGGGGCTCTGTGCCAGACAGCAAATGTGTCCCTCAATATAGAGTTAGTTTGAAGACAAAGCCAGAGTTGAGTTTGCAGTAGAGGGACCTAGAAGGGCAAGCAGGGTTTGAGAGCAATGTTTGAGATATATACATATTTATCTATATCTATATCTATATCTATATCTATATCTATATCTATATCTATATCTATATCTATATCTATATCTATATCTATCTATCTATCTATCTATCTATCTATCTATCTATCTATATTGCCTCCAAGGTTGTGGCTATGGTGAGAAACAAGACCCTTTTGGAGGGGTGTTAATGCTGTGAACCCCTCCATCGCAGACTCAGGTTGCATATATGTGTTGTTGTTGTTGTTTAGTCGTTTAGTTGTGTCCGACTCTTCGTGACTCCATGGACCAGAGCATGCCAGGCACTCCTGTCTTCCACTGCCTCCCGCAGTTTGGTCAAACTCATGCTGGTAGCTTCAAGAACGCTGTCCAACGATTCTCATCCTCTGTCGTCCCCTTCTCCTTGTGCCCTCCATCTTTCCCAACATCAGGGTCTTTTCCAGGGAGTCTTCTCTTCTCATGAGATGGCCAAAGTATTGGAGCCTCAGCTTCACAATCTGTCCTTCCAGTGAGCACTCAGGGCTGATTTCCTGAAGAAAGGAGAGGTTTGATCTTCTTGCAGTCCATGGGACTCTCAAGTGTCTCCTCCAGCACCATAATTCAAAAGCATCAATTATTCGGCGATCAGCCTTCTTTATGGTCCAGCTCTCACTTCCATACATCACTACTGGGAAAACCATAGCTTTAACTATACGGACCTTTGTTGGCAAGGTGTATATGTGTAGATAAACCATATTTCCTAAGGACACCACAGCCTCTGCTGTGCCTAAATTCTGAAAAGTAACACGAAGCTTGGGTAAGCACCTGGAACCCCCCCAGAATCTTGCACCGCTAGAGATTGGGGTGCCATGCAACAGAACAAAAGCATGCATGGAGTCCTGGGATGCTGAGAGCATGCACAGGGCCAGACTTCGTTAGAGCCTCACAGGCCCTCCCAGCAAAGTTCTTGGCAGGCCAGCAGCCACCACTCAGCAGCACATTTCAGGATGCCCAAGCAACTACACTGCCATGTCATGTGGGTCTCCCTGGAAGTGCTGCTGAGCTGGATGTTGGCATGAGAGTTTTGCACTGCTGTGGGCAAACCAAGCCCTTTGACTGCACAGCATTTAAAGAAAAATAAAGACACACATGCGAACATCCAGCTCCCTCATACATTAGAATGAGATCAGCCCCTTAGCCCACCACGCCTCTCAAGTGTGGCAAGTGGGGTGCTCCTGGAGGGAGGCACCTGGTTGAGGGTCTTGCCAATCCTGAAGGAGCCCACCCTGCCTTGACCCCAGCCTACAAGCCCTCGATAGTTCCCAGATAGAAGCTTTGCTTGTCTCCCAGTTCTGACACACACACAAGTCCCTCTGAAGGGAGGAAATTATATCATTTCTCAAGAATTGCTCGGCTAATGAATGAAATGAAGGTATGTGGCTGTCGGAATTGTCTTTGGCACCGATCCAGCGTCGCCGGGCATTTTATCAATTGTACTTCTGTCATCGTTTCTGCCTCTTGGTCTTATCGCTGCTCCAGAGGGCAGGACGTTATTCAGACCCCAAAGAGCGAGGCCCAGAAATATTGGCTCAATGGAGCTAGCCGCTCTCCGTGTGAGATGGGCTTTCCCAGCCAAGACTATCATCATGCGCAGACATTGAAACGCTCTTGTCTTATGCAGATGGCCAAAAATAGCTGGTGGATGAGACATTATTCAGAGTCTATTTGTTGCATCATAAGCATACAAGAGTCAGATGAAGAAACCACGCGGTGTAGGAAGTATTACCAACATGGGGAGCTCTCTCTCTCTCTCTCTCTCTGTGTGTGTGTGTGTGTGTGTGTGTGTGTGTGAAGCTCAGTTGGCAGAGCTTGAGACTCTTAATCTCAAGGTCGTGGGTTCGAGTCCCACATTGGGCAAAAGATTCCTGCATTTCAGGTGGTTGGGCTTGATGTCTCCTTGTTGTACCATCCAACTCTGCAATTCTATGATTCTATGAACGATCTGGATTTCATAGTGCGAATTTCAGAAATTGCCAGTGTTTAAAATACTTCACTGAGACGGTGAAATTGACATGTTTAACCAGAGAAAAGTCATTGCTAACATTTGTTAAAGGCTGGAAACCTCTCGTAGACTTTTTGCGTGAAAAAGAAAATGAAACCATGACATCTGGATTTGAGGACTGAAGATAATGTTTGTTTATAGAATGTGGTTTTGTGGGGTGTTATACTGGATTGGACAAAGTGAATATTGTTTCTGTATAGCGGACAGATGAACAATCAGAAGTTCTTTACTTTCTGAATCTTATCTTTCTATTTTAACCTCTTTTCTATTTTTTAAAAAAATATTTTTCCTCTATTTCTCCCATCCCCACTTTCTGTGTTTATATTGTATCTATTGAAAGTCTTGGTTTGGTTTAAAAATGGGGAAATATATCAAGTTTTGTATTTTTCTCTATAAACCTGTCAGGGAACTGCCATCAGCTCAGAGGCGAGAGAGAGGCAGTTGTGTTATAGGGAGCCTCCGAAAATCTCGTGAAGCAGTTCCTCCTCCAGCGAGAAGGGAAGCCCCACCTCCAGTGAAGAAGAGGTGCAGGGACCAGGGGATGCCAGGGAGAGCCTCAACACCGACCCTGAGCAAACCAGAGAGGCGGGAAGTGCGCCCTTGCCAGCACCCATTCTGCGCAGTAGGCTTCAGTGCAGGGAAGGGCGGAAAAGGCTGGGGGGTCACGTAACTTTATGCTGGGGGAGGTACAAAGAGAGCCAGTGTGGTGTAGTGGTTAAGAGCGGTGGACTCGTAATCTGGTGAACCGGGTTCGCATCCCCGCTCCTCCACATGCAGCTGCTGGGTGACCTTGGGCCAGTCACACTTCTCTGAAGTCTCTCAGCCTCACTCCCCTCACAAAGTGTTTGTTGTGGGGGAGGAAGGGAAAGGAGATTGTTAGCCGCTTTGAGACTCCTTAGTGTAGTGATAAAGCGGGATATCAAATCCAATTCCAAACAAAGACCGACCACTCCCAGATTCTGCTAGCGATTGAGCCAGACATGAAGTTATGACGCTCTTCACTGTAAATAGGTTGCACCAAGAATAAAGCCTGGAAAGGACAGTCTTGCCTGTTTACTCACGAGCAACCACATCACCTTCTGACAAAACCTTAATAAAATTTATTTTTTAAAAAATATATCATTTAACACAGTCAACCAATAATTTAAAACAACAACAACAACAGCAACAACACAGACAGACACCATGCGGTGTGGTAGCAGTTAAAATGTTGAACTTACGCCAGGATCAGATACCTTATCAGCCACACAGCTTACTGGTGTCACATCCAAACTATACATTTAAAGCACTCCAGAGCTGGCCCACCCATGAGGCTGGGTGAAACAACTGCCTCAGGCGGCTGTCCTCAAGGGGTGGGGTGCCCATTCCATCGTCCATCTCTACCGCCGGGTTCCTCGGCCTCTAGGGGCAGAGATTGATTCGTGACAAGGATCTGTGGATCACCTCTCCTCCTGGTGAGTCAGCACGAAGGGAGGAGCTCAGGCAAAGCCCCTGCTGAGCCAAGCAGGAGGGGATCTGGAAAGGATCTCTTCCCTCCTGCCTGGCCCAGCAGGGGAAACGCCTTGCAGAATTTGCACCCCCATCGTGGGGGCAGAAGCAAGGCGTTTCGCCTCTGGTGACAAAAAACTTTGGGTCACCCTAAAGCAATCTGACAGCCCTTTTTGTTGACTGTTTTGTGTTATTGTTTTTAAAATCAATAAAGCATTAAAATAAAAGAAAATGCTGACATTGAATATTCCTCAGATAAACTCAGGATGCTTGCCAGATTTTTGCTGAATGTTTGGCATCTTCATCATAGCCTGATAATATTTGCAAACTGGATTCCATACATTGAAACCCAGCACTATTGTTCCCTGCCCCACCCTGTCTCTGAGTAAGCCAGGGGATCGAACACACAATCATTTCTTGCCCCTTCAGCAGTTGAGAAGGGAGATCCAGTAAAGGAAGCTGGCTTCGAGTGTTGCTTTCACCCATGAAAAGGGCTTCTCTTTCGCTGCTTCATTTGCAAGGAAATTCCGGATTTACTTAGGATTTCAGGGCATGCAGGATTGAGCACATCTTAACAGAGAAGTGTGGCTGAGGGTTGCGTGTTTTTCTGGCAGTGTTGTGCAGTCTCCCTCGCTGCCCACATTTCTGGATCTGAAAAAGTTCCGCATGAGGAATTGCTAAATGACATCTTCTCCTTGGCTTAAATTGAAGTGTGGGGAGCCAGGGAGGCTGGAGATTGAGTGTCTGAGAACATTATGCTCACAAGGGAGGGAGGGATCTGTCAATTTTTGGTTCTCTTGGTTTACCATTTTTCCAGTCTTAAATTCATTTCACCACATTTCAGCAGCAATTTGCAATTCTTAGAACAAAAACCCTCATGGACATTCATCAGCATCTCAGTGCAAATTTTTCTTATCACATTTTTGGATGCAGTTTTGGCTAATGTACTGTACATATTTGTGCAAGCAATTTCCCCTGTTCTAATGCATTTTTGTACATTCTGTTCACTAAAATATTCATTTTTAGGCGCATTTCCCTCTAAAATAGGCACTTTTACAAGCATTTTTTAGTTGGACAACTGCATTGCAAAATTCAGAGAAGTGCAAATTCTGGAGGGTGTAGTGCTTTGGTTTGCAGAGTGTTTCAGAAAGTGCGAGTTAAATGCAAATGGAATCTAAATTCTCCCCCATCCCTCATGCACCCTGATTTTGTTTTTAAGGAGCATCCTTCCTCTTATCTTAAAATAAATATTTCTGCACTGATGGAAAGACTCCACCAGGCAAGGCCTCCTTCCACCTGCCTTGCCCCACTCTCTGCTTCTCAATGTGTATTGTATTGTTTTATGTACTGTGGCTTGCCATTGTTTATTGATTATAGTTTAGATATTATTGTAACTGTTGAGTGGATTTCTGTTTAACTTTTCTATGTTGATATTATTTTATACTATTCTAATGATTGTTGAATGTTACTTTTTTGATGGAGGTTGTCTATTTTAAAGTTATGTTTTATTATCACATTTTTGTATTGCCTTAGATTGTTATAAGATGTACATTTTTTGTTTCTTCAGCTTGTAAACCGCCTTGAGTATTGTAAAATAGAAAGGCAGTATAAAAATTAAATATGATGATGATAAAAAAGTAAAAGCACTTAAAAAAAATATACAGTTGGCTGCCTGGACCATGTGGGGCAGTCTCTCACACTCCCCGTGTGTTAAGTCTATCGGGTGGTTGCTCGAGAGCAATCAGGCAAGGTGCCTCACTGGTCTGTTCTAAAGCTTTATTATTGGTGCTAAAAACCTTTACAATGCAGAGCGCCTCTATTCCACGTCTTGCTCATTCACTAGCAGAATCTGAGAGTGGGCGGTCCTTAAATCTTCCCCAGCAGAGTAGTCTCTTGACCCCCAGCCTACGCCTCCCCTCTCTGTGCGAAAGCCTACTGCGCAAGGAAGGCTTGGGTAACAGGGGACCTCCCTCCTCCCCGCTTTGCTCAGGCAAGGTGTCCTGGCACCGCCTCGCATCCTCCGAGCCCTGCATCTCCTCCCCACTAGAGGCGTGGCTTCCTTCCTCTGCTGAGGAGGTGCTGCTTCCCACGATCTTTGGGGGCTCTCTGTAATCCATCCACCTTTCCCCCCCTCGCCCTTGAGCCGATGGCAGTTCCCTGACACCATGCTTGCAGGAAAGCCCAGACAAGGACATGTGAGGTCTTAGGAACCACAGGTACCCAGGAAAGTGGCAGAATGCTGTGTGCCAGAGGGATGGTTCATAGAATGGAAGGAAGGGCTCACGAAAGCCCTTGAGATCCTCAACAGGAAAATAAGTGCAACTAAAACCTCAGCTCCTTCCCACCCATGATAATTGTGCCAAAGCTTTCCGTCCTCTTTGAAAATTTTGGAACACAATTTCTTTTCTCATTAACTGATGGAGTCCGGCCGGAAGGGGGGAAATGCAGAAGAAATTATCGGCACGGCACTCATTGATTTCATAACTTCACGTGAATTCCATTAGACAGCTGGACTCCGCAAAGTCTGAGAAACTCCACTTTGTCCCCAGCCACTGCTTCCCTTTCCCGATATTTTTCTTTCTTTCTGAGAGTAAATGTCTGCCGTTCTGGCTCATTTCCTGAGCCCAGTCTGCTTCAGCCAAAATAATGTGAAGGTAAAACAATGCATTTTTAAAAAAAATAATGCATGCACGCGCACATACGCACACAGAACAGGGAAAATGCAGCCGCAGCCTCCAAAATCACACGCTATTGATTCTCCGGCTTAGCACAGACGTTACAGCAGCTTTAGCAGGAGAAAAAACAAGTGCTGCGTTGATTTAACATAATTGAGTTAAGACAGCTCAGCACATGGCAGAGAGAATTAGAAGTCATGTGCCATGCGCCGCCACATGTTACAAGAAGGGGCTGGTTTCCTGTCTCTTTGGGGAATCGGTTGTCTGTGCCGGAAGAAAAGAAAACTTGAGGGGATTATCGCATATGAGGATTCAAAGCCAGTTTTGAGTGCACAGAGATAAGGGCTGGAGATATCCCAGGTGCAATGCATGTGCTTCTTCCTTTCTGTCCTGTAGAAGCACACATTCTTGCCATCCCCATGTGCCAGCAACACCGTGTGGTTTCCTTCCCACAGTCCTGCAGTCAAAGAGCACCATCTCTTGGTCCTTATCATGAGCTACAGCCAGCCTCCTCCGAAGCTGCTCTGATGAGTCTCTGAGACACCCTCCTCCCCATTTTATATGAGCCAGCTCCCTTGGTTATTCCTTGACATAATTTCCCCGTAGAGGTCATGTTTGGGGTATGATAATATACCTTCGGTCTGCAAAGCATTAAGGGGAGGATATTGTCAGATATATGATCCAGCCAGGAA